GCCTTTCTTTGTGGATGCACAACTCTACAATCAGTAATGTGCTATGATAGCTCCCTCCCATGGGTCTGGAAGGCTTCCTCCCATGGGTCTGGCCTTGCAGCTCCTTAGAAAAAACTCTCTCCCTGTGTCCCATGCAGTGGTGTGACCTTCAGACTTTACTTCCTGAATCTGTGACCTCTAGGTCTTCCTCCAGTCTGTCCAGTATTCATCAGGGGAGACAGGGCCCTTCTCTGCTGACCAGGAGCCCTTCGGCCTGCCCTGAGGCAGATCTCATGCCTGTGGAGAGAGAGCCTTGTTGGTTTGCAAACCACAAGGTAACCACTTATTCACTCAGTGTGGATTTATAATATCTAGCCTATTGATTATTTCTGCCCACCTGGATGCATTTCATTACCCATTAACTCCATAGAGGACGAGTAAACGGAACTCAGACAGGCTCCAGCCATTTTGCTATTAAGATGTATTAAGGACAGAGTGTGGGGGACCAGCAGATGGTGTAGTAGCTGTCTCTGGACTCCGACATAGTCGACCGCGGTTCGAGTCCTTGATCCAGTGGCTTAAAACACACTGGATGCGTGTGTGTGCGTGCTCGAAATCCCAAGAGGAGACTGGAGGAGAAGGGATTACGGTGTGGCCATCCCCACTGGAGGGTGATTTCTCATTTTCTGTCTGTCTGTCTCTGTTGATCCGGTGAGCGCATGAGCCCTATAGCAAAAAATCTCCCTCAAAAAAAGAAAAAAAAAAAAGAAGGACAGAGTGTGAAAGGAGGTGAGAGCTGTCGGGAATGAGACCGGAGAAGTACGGGCTTGCACACGTGACTCACTCCAGTCCCATCTGTATAGTCACAGGCTGACTTCCAGAGTCTGGCCCCCCAAAATGCAGATACCAGGGGCTAAGTGACTCCAGGAATTCCCAGCACACTGACCCATGGGTGCAGCCTGGCCCTTTTCGTTAGTTCTTGCCATCTGGGGAGACTGGGTGTGCTGGGGGTCGGCTCAGTGGGCTATAGGACAAGAGTTTCAGCCCTTCCAAGTTTTAGAGCCAAGAGCTGGAGGCTAGTCCTGGAAAAGAGAAAGAGTTCTCTGTACATTACCTGGCACTGAAGCAGTCTACTTAGTGCCCTCCGGGTGTGGGCACCAATCCTTGGTCACGTGGAAGAGCCCGTGCAAGGCCGTGGCCACAGTACCAGCCCTGTCTCTGTGACGGCCACCAGGAGTGTTCATGCCATTGTTATGCCTGCAAAAGGGGCACCAGGCCAACCGCCAGGACCATCCAGTCACCAGCCGGGCACTGAAAACCCTTTGTTGAGGCTGAGAGCTGCTCTCCATTGGGAATTAAAGGATGGAATTTTGAAGGCTACTTTCTTTTTCTCTTTCTCGTCTCATTCTTTTATTTACTTTCTGTGATACACACCATGTCTTCTTAAGTGAGACGAAGCCCAGAATCCAGGGATCTGTTTGGAAGTGCAGTGGGTTTCTCCAGATCACTCATGAGGTCTCTGTTTTAGCTAGCCAGTCTCCTGGCTCTCATTAGCTGCAGCCCCAGCCGTGCGTGTAGTGAACACTTGCTGCTGGGCTCCCAGCTTCCCTACGGCAGCTCCTACAGCTGACCGGGGTGTGTGCTGGGACATAATGTGGCCGCGCAATGCACGCCGTCGCCAGGATGGTGCAGGCTTCATCGTGCAAACACGCCGATGACAGGGAGAGAGCGTTGGGTCTGCAGTCTACTCCTGGTTTCAGTCTCCCTTGCTGACCCAGCACATCACAAGCTGAATCTTAATGAAAACCTTCTTGGACAGGGATGAGTGCTGCAGATGCATTCAGGAAACTGGTTTCAGAGCACAGTCGGCCCCAGCGCTCAGGGGGACCCAGTACCTCTCTGGTGGGTGCAGAATGGCCCTGGCCCCTGGAAATGGAGCGGAGGACATGAATGTCAAGAGAACGTCACATCTCCCTCTGTGTGTTCTGTCTGCTGACTCTGCGAGATCTGTTTCTATTTTAAGAGGCAATTCCATGCTTTGGTGGAGGCTGAGTGCCTGGGGGGGGGGTCCTTTTCAGAGGGAGGGTGTGGGGAGATGGCACCAGAAAACCTTACATTCTCACTGTCTTTGTTTTTCTGGACTTCACTGTGGTGGGAATGCAGAAACCCTTAGGAAGAGTTAATGGTACACAAATGGATCTTAAAACCAGCTTGTCTGCTGGAGAGCTGCGAAGCCAAGTGTTGTGAGCAGGGCAGTGACTGCTCGGTGCTGCAGCAGCCCCGGCCCCCCTCCGAGCAGCGCGAGCTGGATCCTGGCTCTGGCTGAGGCGACTG